CAAAGTCTTACTACCATTGGTAGTGTATAGATAACACCCAGTCTGGGACAGCAACTGGTGCAAAGTCTTACTACCATTGGTAGTGTATAGATAACACACAGCCTGGCATAGTAACTGGTGCGAGGTCTGTTACTACCATTGGTAGTGTATAGATAACACACAGCCTGGGATAGCAACTGGTGCAAAGTCTGTTACTAACATTGGTAGTATAGATAACACACAGCCTGGGATAGTAACTGGTACAAAGTCTGTTACTACCGTTGGTAGTGTATAGATAACACACAGCCTGGGATAGTAACTGGTGCAAAGTCTGTTACTATTGGTAGTGTATAGATAACACACAGCCTGGGGATGATAACATGTTTATTTGGACAATGCATTGACCCAAAATCAGGTGTCATTTATTTGTGTTGATCGTGTAATATGACTTTGGATTCCAACTCTTTTGTAATACTCAATGGTAACATAAATAATGCATTTAAGAATTAATATGTGAATTTCCCTCTCAGAAACATTCAAGACGACTGGTCGCAACCCGTACCCTGCTGTTTTGTTTCAGAAAAAGGATGGGATTGCACTTGTTAAAACAAGTCTATCGAAATCGCAAAATGAAAAATTGAAATAAATAAAAATGTATAGTGTAATTGTAGTAAACCTAAAGGAAGATGTAATTCATTGTTATATTTTCTTTAATTCAATTTGTAGAAGATAGGTATATATATATTGTTGTCTATTTGTTCAATGTGGATAACATTTTGTGTCATGCATAGTTGGGAAAGCCTAGCTGCTGGCTGTAAAGAAGCTGTAAAGCATTGAAATGGAGAAGAAATGAAAGTCTTACATAGTAGATTGTGTAGAAGCTATAGACTCCTCTAGCTATGACAAGCTCATAGCTCTGTTTGAAGCATGACTACTCCCAAGGGGGCGGTACATTGTATGCTTCCAGTTCAGTTCCATCTAGCTTGCTGTGGCTGTTGCATTTTTCCTCAGCATTTTCACCAGACCTGCAATTGCTCACATTAGCTTTAGCTCTATTCTCCCAGTTACTATAGATCGACACATTTAATTCAGTCAACACAAATTCAGATTTATGTTATAATTACTCCTCAGAAAACACATTCATATTCCCCTGGGTTTCCCTAACCATGATATATCTGTGAATAAACCTAGATTATCTCTTTGTCACAGCTAGTACAAATACAATTCAAACAAATCTTTCCCCAGGTCTGACGCACACAAAGTAGGTATGTACAGTAATTTAACTTTTCAATGAGCGAACCACATTGTGTAATTTCCAAGTGTAAAACTCTAAGGTATAGTTTATAAGCTGGTACATGGCTTCAGATATTAGGTGTAAACCTCCAGGGTATGGGGTTGTATGCTGGTACTGGGGTTCAGCGGTCAGGTAAAGTGCACATGTACTCCTATTAACCAGCCCCAAGCCAAGGTGTTTCCCTAGACATGTGTCATAAGAACTAGTAATGTAACTGTGACAGGGAGCTCCGAGCCACATGTACTATTACCTAATGCTGGAGGCTTCCTGCTCACGTTTGCAGTTTTATGTACCATCCCTATAGAAGCTTCTATCTTAATTGAATATTTAACTTTATTTCAAATCCCCAAAAAGATTTTATGCGGGAGTGTACCTGTTCTTATACTTAATTATAATTAGAAAATCCATTAGATGGTGCAATAATCTAGTACATGTTTGCAGTACATACTGAACCCATTGGATGGTGCTTAGGAAAACCAGCTGGATATGGTGCTCAGTCTAGCTAATGCAGGTTACAATAGCAATCCCAGTGGACACACTGGTTCATTCTATCTTTGCACAAATCTAATCTAGCGTTGTGCACAGCTGGAAGAAAGGCAATTCTTCATTCAGAGATTCGGTACCTCATGCTTTTGGAACGAGTATTGATTTGTAGTAAAAAGAAACAAAACCGTTTCCAGAACATATTGTTACTTATTTTTGTGTCAATACTGTTTACAGCCTTCAATTTAAAGGACCTGTCACTATTATATAAACTCCTATGGGTTGTACAATATCTGTCTGATAGGGGACGAACATGTATGTAAACATTAATACTTATTGTGCAAATATTATGTACTGGACAGTGACTGGAACCAGAAAACAAATTCTGATAGATTGTGATAATGATGCCTATATTAAATATACTGGGATACTTTCAAATAAATGGGAGAGTGACTTGCTACAAAAAAAATCAGATTCAGAAAAAGATAATATATATATAGATTTTTTTTAATCTGTTTAATTTATCTATCATGAGGAATGTTTTTTTACAATAAATTAAGTAATAAATATTTATAAAAGCTATCATTAGTTTCAAATTTGAAGCCTTTAACTAATCATACCCCTGGTATTCTTTAAATGTAGGGTTCATATTAATATTTATGTATAGAAGTTTATTTTTTTTATTACTGTTATAAACTCATACTGTCAAAAACTCCGAATAAGAGATCATTTACATAATTAATCAAATATAAAAGTTGGCAACAATGCTAGGTGCAGGCAAGTCAAAGTTAAAATTTTATTTTACTGATTTTTTTTTATATAATTTACCTTGTTGAGTGGTACCTTTAGTAGATTTCTTTGACTTGTGTTTATTTTACTGTTGTAGACGTACATCTTCACAGACGGGGATGACAAGCTGGATGTTCCAGGTAGGTAGGAAAGTTTGACAGTAGCTTTTTGCATTGTCTTCCTATTTCATCCTCTTTTGAGGTAAACACTGCTTTGAGTTTCTTATTATAATAGTAAAGCAAGTAGCTCTACATTAAAGATTATAAGACTCTTTCATGCACAGGGGTGTAGGATAGGGAAATTCCACCCGAGAGTTTTCAAATTTGTTGAAAATCCTGAGGGTGGAATTTCCCTATCCGACACTCTTGAGCATGAAAGAGTATTTTTCTCTCATTCCAACTGCCAGAATAAGCTCAGAAACCATGAAAATGTGTTTAGACTGGCTACCATTTTGAAAATATCATTTTTTTTCTGAGGTTTTATTACGGAAATGAATCTGTCAGCGAAATTTAGCATACCCCATCTTCGCAAACAAGGTTTAAGATACGTGCAGAAAAAGTCATCTCATCTTTCTCATGTGTACAGTAAATATATGGTAAAAGATTTTAAATTAACCACGTCGCTTTTCCACATTGTGACGTCACATCAATGTTGAGCCATTGTGACGTCGCGTCACGTGAAATGGGGTGTAACATAGAAATTTCCTACACCCCTTTCCTACCATAGATAGCTCTATCTTACACACATGGAAATGAGAGAAATATGTGTCTTATATATATACATTGTACCAGTAATTACGTAAAATATTGTCTCCTTGACATTTTATAAAATAAGAATAAGGTTAAATGTGTTCCTTTATCGATACACATAACAAGGTACATGTACCTTTATTGTATACTTGTACCTTTATCGATACCTGTTTATATTGTGTACCTTACTGATGGTCACTTCATCTTAGCTGTTGTAATTACCTTTGGTAATTAGCCTCTGGGACAATGTATGGTACATTACCCTATATTAAGGGATATCTGTGACATTGTATGGTACATTACCTTCGGTGATATCTCGGACATTGTATGGTACATGTGCGGTGATATCTCGGACATTGTATGGTACATGTGTGGTGATATCTCGGACGTTGTATGGTACATTACCTTCGGTGATATCTCTGACATGGTATGGTACATTACCTTAGGTGATATCTAGGACATTGTATGGTACATGTATAATTGTAATTACCTTTGGTATATCAAGGACATTGTATGGTATATTACCTTAAGTGATATCTAGGACATTGTATGGTACATTACCTTAGGTGATATCTGGGACATTGTATGGTACATTACCTTAGGAGATATCTTGGACATTGTATGGTACATTACCTTAGGTGATATCTTGGACATTGTATGGTACATTACCTTAGGTGATATCTCGGACATTGTATGGTACATTACATTTGGTGATATCTCTGACATTGTATGGTCCATTACATTAGATGATATCTTGGACATTGTATGGTACATCACATTTGGTGATATCTCTGACATTGTATGGTCCATTTCCTTAGGTGATATCTTGGACATTGTATGGTACATTACCTTAGGTGATATCTGGGACATTGTATGGTACATTACATTTGGTGATATCTCTGACATTGTATGGTACATTACATTAGGTGATATCTTGGACATTGTATGGTACATTACCTTAGGTGATATCTTGGACATTGTATGGTACATTACCTTAGGTGATATCTTGGACATTGTATGGTACATTACCTTAGGTGATATCTGGGACATTGTATGGTCCATTACCTTTGGTATATCTAGGACATTGTATGGTACCTTACATTAGGTGATATCTCGGACGTTGTATGGTACATTACCTTCGGTGATATCTCTGACATGGTATGGGCCATTACCTTAGGTGATATCTTGGACATTGTATGGTACATAACACTTGGTGATATCTGGGACATTGTATGGTACATTACATTAGGTGATATCTTTGACATTGTATGGTACATTACCTTAGGTGATATCTGGGACATTGTATGGTCCATTACCTTCTGTAATATCTCTGACATTGTATGGTACATTACATTAGGTGATATCTTGGACATTGTATGGTCCATTACCTTAGGTGATATCTTGGACATTGTATGGTCCATTACCTTAGGTGATATCTGGGACATTGTATGATACATTATCTTAGGTGATATCTGGGACATTGTATGGTACATTACATTTGGTGATATCTGGGACATTGTATGGTCCATTACCTTAGGTGATATCTTGGACATTGCATGGTACATTACCTTAGGTGATATCTGGGACATTGTATGGTCCATTACCTTTGGTGATATCTTTGACATTGTATGGTACATTACCTTAGGTGATATCTTGGACATTGTATGGTACATTACCTTAGGTGATATCTGTGACATTGTATGGTCCATTACCTTAGGTGATATCTTGGCCATTGTATGGTTCATTACCTTAGGTGATATCTGGGACATTGTATGGTCCATTACCTTAGGTGATATCTGGGACATTGTATGGAACATTACATTTGGTGATATCTCTGACATTGTATGGTACATTACCTTTGGTATATCTAGAACATTGTTTCATCATGTGTAGCTGTAATATATCTGGGACATTGTATGTACATTTGTAGCTGTATTTACCTATAGCTATAAGGTCTATATCTATGACAGTATATATACTACACTGAATTAAGCTGTAAGGTGATATTTACTGTAATGGGAGAAGACATCAGTGAAACAGTCATGGTCATTTGATATATGTCAGATAAGGTTTTAAACAAACGGCGGCTTTGTGTTGTTCAGCTGCAGACAAATTCTCCCAGACCTGACTAGCTCTTAGTGATAACAACATTGACAGAATTCATGTATAAATAAAAATGTCCTACTTCTGTACATATTTACTGAAATACCCAAGTTGATACTCATTCAGAGTATAAAGTTCAGATGAGACAGCAGATGTACTAAAGAGATAGGGAGAATCGAGTTGCTTACATGCATGTATGCTAATGCATATAAGTATTTGATTTTGATATATAGTATAGCCTGTTTAAGCCTGTCCCTGGTGTTTATTCTGGATCCCTGTCTCAGTAGATTTATTATTTAGTCCTATTTTTTCTTGAAATTTGTTAGAAACCAGAAGTGTTTTAAAAATTATAAGCAAGAGATATTTTATACATCTTATAATTTATTGTAATAAAACTTCTAGCCTGCTTATTTGAACTGTCTGGTTTTGCAGTGTAGAAATGTTGTCAAGCACATTAAATTTTACTTACTGTTGGTATGTAAATATATATATTGATAAACTGAGTGTAAGATCAATACTGTAATAATCAATACTAACTTTTGTGTGATTGTTTACAGAGGGTCATCTGATCAACACCAATTGTTCCAACAGTCATTATAGGTAAGTAATATGCATGTACGTTTATATAGCATGTTTGACAAACATGAATGTTATTTACCTGTACTTGTGTTATTTACCTGTACTTGTGTTATTTACCTGTACTTGTATTATTTACCTGTACTTGTGTTATGTACCTGTACTTGTGTTATTTACCTGTACTGGTATTATTTACCTGTACTTGTATTATTTACCTGTATTTGTGTTATTTACCTGTACTTGTATTATTAACCTGCACTTGTATTATTTACCTGTACTTGTGTTATTTACCTGTACCTTTGTTATACCTTTCCAGAATAGCACTTAGCTGTAAGATGGCTGTTGAGTATGATTTCTTCATGATCACAGACAAAAGGTAAGCTCATCAGATTCAGGATAGCAATGTTTTTAATGATGAAGCTCAAAATATTGTATTTGTAAACCATTGTATTCTTATGGAAAATCAGATAGACTTTTTATATAATTATCAAAACAATGATAAGGGTAACAACTTTGGTCTGGTTTTACATTTATTCAGTAATTATAATTTCTCTGAAGATCTAGATTTGCTCAAATGTATTAATGTATTGGTTACATAGACAATTTTTCAAAATAAAAAGGAGGACAGTATCTGTCCATGCCTGCTACCAATTGCAAGAGAAAACATTGTTTAATTGGCAGAAAGGATTATTTTCGTTCACTTAGAGTACGAAAGAGTACAATAGGTTAATTTTAGAAATGGTTACTGGTATATAACTTCACTTATAGAATACATGATGATAGGGTTCTGGTTGGTGATTATATTGTCATACCTTGTGACAGAAACACAGTTTAAATAGGGTAACCTGCTGATAACTTAAACAGGCTATGATTATCTCAATTTTAAATTTAGTTCTAAAACATTTGTGACAAGTTATAATTATCTCCCTTGTCACAGATGGTTTTGTCATCTTGACGATGATACCTACCTTAATGTGCCTGGCTTAGTAAAGCTGCTTCAGACGTACAACCATACAGATGACTGGTATTTGGGCCGCCCTAGTCTCCGACATCCCATAGAGGTTATGAAGCGATCCAACCCAGAGGTACTTCCAAACATTCTGTTCACATATATAAAAATTGATGCTGAGATAACTAGGTGATATGTTGTCCATTAATGTTAAATCCTCAAGCCTTTTGGACAAGGAAACTTTATCACCCAAATGTATAAACCTGTTTGTGTCTTATTTGTATATAATGTTTCCTAATTGTACATGTTTCCTCATTGTACATGTTACCTATTTGGCCATGTTTCCTCTTTGGGGCCCGGTGGCCAAGTGGTTAAGGCGTCCGACATCTGCTACCAATAGCCCTCCACCACTGGGTCGCAGGTACTGGCCGTAGGTCTGTGTTTTTTTCTCGGGGAACTCTGGCTTTCCTCCACCATCAAAACCTGGCACATCCTTAAATGACCATAGCTGTTAATAGGACGTAAAACACAAACAAACCAAACCAAACATGTTTCCTCATTGTACATGTTACCTAATTGTACATGTTACCTAATTGTACATGTTAATTATTTGTACATGTTACCTAATTGTACATGTTACCTATTTGTACATGTTAATTATTTGTACATGTTTCCTCATTGTGCATGTTACCATTTTGTACATGTTACATATTTGTACATGTTACCATTTGTACATGTTATCGTTTTGTACATGTTACCTATTTGTACATGTTACCTAATTGTACATGTTAATTATTTGTACATGTAACCTAATTGTACATGTTACCTAATTGTACATGTTACCTATTTGTACATGTTAATTATTTGTACATATTTCCTCATTGTACATGCTACCATTTTGTACATGATACCTAATTGTACATGTTACCTAATTGTACATGTTACCTATTTGTACATGTTACCTATTTGTACATGTTACCTATTTGTACATGTTACCTTTTTGTACATGTAACATATTTGTACATGTTACCATTTGTACATGTTATCATTTTGTACATGTTACCCATTTGTACATGTTACCCATTTGTACATATTTCCTCATTGTACATGTTACCATTTTGTACATGTTACCTAATTGTTCATGTTACCTAATTGTACATGTTAATTAATTGTACATGTTACCTAATTGTACGTGTTACCTATTTGTACATGTTACTGATTTGTACAAGTTACCGTTTTGTACATGTAACCATGTTACCTAATTGTTCATGCTACCTATTTGTACATGTTACCTATATGTTCATGTTACCTTTTTGTACATGTTACCTTTTTGTACAAATTACATATTTGTACATGTTACCGTTGTGTACATGTTACATATTTGTACATTTCCTCATTGTGCATGTTACCATCTTGTACATGTTACATATTTGTACATGTTACCGTTGTGTACATGTTACATATTTGTACATGTTACCGTTCGTACATGTTATCGTTTTGTACATGTTACCTAATTGTTCATGCTACCTATTTGTACATGTTACCTATATGTACCTGTTACCTTTTTGTACATGTTACACATTTTTACATGTTACCGTTTGTACATGTTAACGTTTTGTACATGTTACATATTTGGAATTTTCCTCATTGTGCATGTTACCATTTTGTACATGTTACCTAATTTTACATGTTACCTATTTGTACATGTTTACTCATTGTACATGTTACCATTTTGTCCATGTTCCCTAATTGTACATGTTAATTATTTGTCCATGTTACCTAATTGTACATGTTACCTATATGTACCTGTTACCTTTTTGTACATGTTACCTTTTTGTACAAATTACATATTTGTACATGTTACCGTTCGTACATGTTATCGTTTTGTACATGTTACCTAATTGTTCATGTTACCTAATTGTACATGTTACCGTTTTGTACATGTTACCTATGTTACCTAATTGTACATGTTACCGTTTGTACAAGTTACCTAATTGTACATGTTACCATTTTGTACGTGTTACCTAATTGTACATGTTAATTAGTTGTACATGTTACCTAATTGCACATGTTACCTATTTGTACATGTATCCTCATTGTATATGTTACCATTTTGTACATGTTAATTTTGTACATGTTAATTATTTGTACATAATACCTATTTTGTACATGTTACCTAATTATACATGTTACCGTTTTGTACATGTTACAGATTTGTACATGTTACCGTTTGTACAAGTTACCTAATTGTACATGTTACCGTTTGTACAAGTTACCTAATTGTACATGTTACCTTTTTGTACAAATTACATATTTGTACATGTTACCGTTGTGTACATGTTACATATTTGTACATGTTACCGTTCGTACATGTTATCGTTTTGTACATGTTACCTAATTGTTCATGCTACCTATTTGTACATGTTACCTAATTTTACATGTTAATTATTTGTACATGTTACCATTTGTACATGTTATCATTGTGTACATGTTACCCATTTGTACATGTTACCTAATTGTAAATGTTACCTATTTGTACATGTTACTGATTTGTACACGTTACCTATTTGTACATGTTACCTTTTTGTATATGTAACATATTTGTACATGTTACCATTTTGTATATGTTACATATTTGTACATGTTACCGTTTGAACATGTTATCATTTTGTACATGTTACCTAATTGTTCATGCTGCCAATTCGTACATGTTACCAATTTGTAATGTTACCTTTTTGTACATGTTACCGTTTTGTACATGTTACCTAATTATACATGTTACCGTTTTGTACATGTTACCTAATTATTTGTACATGTTTACTATTTGTACATGTTACCTAATTTTACATGTTAATTATTTGTACATGTTACCGTTTGTACAAGTTACCTAATTGTACATGTTACCTTTTTGTACATGTAACATATTAGTACATGTTACCATTTGTACATGTTATCATTGTGTACATGTTACCCATTTGTACATATTTCCTCATTGTACATGCTACCATTTTGTACATGATACCTAATTGTACATGTTACCTATATGTACCTGTTACCTTTTTGTACATGTTACCGTTTTGTACATGTTACATATTTGTACATGTTACCATTTTGTATATGTTACATATTTGTACATGTTACCGTTTGAACATGTTATCATTTTGTACATGTTACCTAATTGTTCATGTTACCTAATTATTTGTACATGTTTACTATTTGTACATGTTACCTAATTTTACAATGATACCTAATTGTACATGTTACCTATTTGTACATGTTACCTAATTGTACATGTTACCTTTTTGTACATGTTAATTATTTGTATGTTTCCTCATTGTACATGTTACCATTTTGTACATGTTACCTATTTGTACATGTTAATTATTTGTACATGTTTCCTCATTGTACATGTTACCATTTTGTACATGTTACCTAATTGTACATGTTACCTGTTTGTACATGTTACCTAATTGTACATGTTACCTATTTGTACATGTTACTGATTTGTACATGTCACCTATTTGTACAAGTTACCTATTTGTACATGTTACCGTTTTGTACATGTTACCTATTTGTACATGTTACTGATTTGTACACGTTACCTATTTGTACATGTTACCTTTTTGTACATGTTAATTATTTGTATGTTTCCTCATTGTACATGTTACCATTTTGCACATGTTACCTATTTGTACATGTTACCATTTGTACATGTTACCTAATTTTACATGTTAATTATTTGTACATGTTACCTAATTGTACATGTTAATTGTTTGTACATGTTACCTATTTGTACATGTTACCGTTTTGTACATGTTACTGATTTGTACAAGTTACCGTTTTGTACATGTAACCTTTTTGTACATGTAACCATTTTGTACTTGTTACATATTTGTACATGTTACCTATTTGTACATGTTACCGTTTGTACATGTTACTGTTTTGTACAAGTTACCGTTTTGTACATGTTACCTAATTGTACATGTTACCTATTTTGTACATGTTACCTAATTGTTCATGTTACCTAATTGTACATGTTACCTATTTTGTACATGTTACCTAATTAATTGTACATGTTACCTATTTGTACATGTTACCTAATTTTGTACATAATACCTATTTTGTACATGTTACCTAATTGTACATGTTACCTATTTTGTACATGTTACCTATTTTGTACATGTTACCTATTTATACATGTTACCTATTTGTACATGTTACCTATTTTGTACATGTTACCTATTTTGTACATGTTACCTAATTGTACATGTTACCGTTTGTACATGTTACCTAATTGTACATGTTACCTATTTGTACATGTTACCTATTTTTAGCTATGGTGGGGTGTTCAAATAATCCTTCATGTGTGGTTCGTTGCCTGTCCATCCATCCCACAGGGGCAAGGCACAGACCATCCCCTTCCCACTATATGCTTATATTATACATGTATATAGAGTCCAGCATATAGGGGGTGGGGGGTGGCCTGTGCCTTGCCCCTGTGGTCCATCTGTCCTTAAACAATTCTTGTTAGCACTAGAGGGATCTTTCTCAAATATCACTTGAAAGTTTCCCATGAACTGTAGTTATGATTGTCAAATTTTGGGACTGGTCAGAAAACTAAGATGGCGGACAGATGGGCATCTTGAATCTCGAGAGTTACAGTTTGTTAGTGCTATCTCTCAGAAATAATGGAGGGATCTTTCTCAAATTTCGAATAAAGATTTCCAGTATTTATGTTAAGTAATTTTTGGACTGATTGAAAAAAACCAGGATGGTCGACAGAATTTTGACATTGTTTTATATCTATGTTCCCCTATAGCTAGGTTCCCTTGTTAAAAATACCCCTGGCCATGGTCCTAAAGGGAATTCATCCTTCATTGACAGCACTTCTCATTATGTAAGAATTACAAATTTGTAGCGTTTTGCATATTCCGATGCAATTCTTATACAAAATAACATTTGTCATAGTGGCAAATAACATATGGTATTACAATGTTTGAGCTACAAAATTCTCCTTAAGGATTTACAACTTGGGATTGGGTAAAAGGTACCTGTAAGGAAAATTAAGAGTAAAGAAGGTAAAAGATCATCTTTTGAAAATCTGACAAAGATCTTTTCATGCTGGAGGCCAAGATCCTTCTAGGATCTGTTGTTATATTATGTTACCTATTTGTATTTCATGTTACTTATTTGTGCGACCCAATTTACACGTCTTGTAAACTATTTGAAAATGTAAATATGTACAAATAATGAGGATTACCATGTTGGGTTTTGCTAAAGGGCTATTCCAGTAAAATATTCACACCACCACGAGCAGCAGACATTTTATGTATGGTGGGTGTTAGAGATTCTGTGTCACATGGTGGTGGTAGTGAAATCACTTCAGTCTGTTATTGGTCCATACATCAAGTTTAAATAAAATATATCCATTATGAAGTGGCTGTTACGTTGTGGGATACACTCTACATGTTATGAAACAATAAGTTAATTGAAAACATCTTCTTGATCGTTTGTTTGTGTAAAATTTGGGGTCGGAAACCGACTCCCCAATTCTGTCAATTTGGATGAATATTTGTTTAAGTCCTATAAAAGTTGAAAAGCTATAAAATTAGAAATATTTAAGTAGCTCACCGACTATAATACTTGATAGTCTTTAAAATAAAATCAGACATTTGACAGCTATTACCTGTAAAAATGTCTTTGTTTATCAAGCAGGCAATTGCTGATATTTTAAACTTTACAAGGAATATATAACTTTTAGGGTTTGTCACTAAATAAAGCCAATTAGTTCTATTCCATGGCCCCGTGTAGGTAAATCATCCTGTCCGTTGTCCTCATTAGTATACAAAAAAGTCAGTTTTAGTAATTTTCACTCAGTTGCATGAATGTAAGAAAGTTTTCCATGAATTTTCAGGTAAGTCCTGATGATTGTTAACTTAAACATCAGTCCTAGCTTCATTATGATTGTCCATGTAAGGGCCACTGCTGCCTCTTGTACCTAAGGCTAGGTGATTCTGAAAAAGGTGTCCATCAGTCGGAGTCTAAATCTATTAAATAGGTTATTTCAAAGGCCACTTCGAAACAGTTGCCATCTTACTCAAAACATTTATGATCTAACTTAAAATATTCACCCTTTAATCCCAAATGATTACATTCTATCTCATTAATTTGATTGTTTAATCTTGTGATGTTACCATTGTGTGTTTCTTTTGTTTACAGCAAAAGATAGCTTTCTGGTTTGCCACCGGTGGAGCTGGGTTCTGTATTAGTCGCAGCCTGGCTCTCAAAATGATGCCGCATGCAAGGTATGATTTTCTACGGACAATTTCTGGACTCTGCAACCAAGATCCAATGACAATCATGGAATAATTTTCCTTTTACAAATTATGAATGTTCTCTGAATTGACCAGCTTTTGTTTGATGCATCTGATAATTGTTCGGGTAAAGAGAAATATTTTCGTTTATGAGTTCTAACTTCTCATGTGATGCATACAAAATGTCTGAATGTAAATTTGGGGAAAGCAAAATCATCTAACTGCAATACAAATTGATTGCTTTATTGTTTATGATACAAGGGTCAGATAATACTATTATGTAAACAATTGTTTGTGTATTTCAGTGGAGGGAGATTTATGACAACTTCTGACATGATCCGCCTGCCTGATGACTGCACTGTAGGATATATCATCAGTGAGTATAGCACTCCTATCATAACATATCATTTACACTCTATTTGTTTACAGTGTTGACATATGTAAGGAGTCTGTGTTGAGGGAGTTGACATATATAAGAAGTGTGTGTTGGGGAGGTGACATATGTAAGGAGTCTGTGTTGGGGAGGTGACATATATAAGGAGTCTGTGTTGGGGAGGTGACATATATAAGGAGTCTGTGTTGGGGAAGTGACATATATAAGGAGTCTGTGTTGGGGAGGTGACATATATAAGGAGTCTGTGTTAGGGAGGTGACATATATAAGGAGTCTGTGTTGGGGAGGTGACATATATAAGGAGTCTGTGTTAGGGAGGTGACATATGTAAGGAGTCTGTGTTGGGGAGGTGACCTATATAAGGAGTCTGTGTTGGGGAGGTGACCTATATAAGGAGTCTGTGTTTGGGAGGTGACATATATAAGGAGTCTGTGTTAGGGAGGTGACATATGTAAGGAATTCTGTGTTTGGTGTGTTGATGTATGGCAGAAAGTGTTTGTTGAGGTTATTGACATACATAAAGAAATCTTTGTTGACGGTGAAGACCTATGTAAGAAAGTCTTTGTAGGGAGTTGACAAATATCAGGAGTGTGTGTTGGGGAGTTGACATACATAAGGAATTCTGTGTTTGGTGTTTTGAGGACTTTGACAAATGTCATGAAACTTTTGTTGAGGATTTAACATATGTAAAGGTCAGTTTTTAGGAAGTGATTTGACATATAAAAGGAAATCTTTATTGAAGGTGTTAACATTCCGTATGCTTGTTTACCATACTTAGCATTGACGGTGTATACCGTATGCTTGTTTACCATACTTAGCATTGACGGTGTATACCGTATGCTTGTTTACCATACTTTGCAT